TTAAACACCCAAGTTCCTGGTCTTTAACTACTCGGTTTATGAGCTCTAACGTCTGGTTTTATGCGGCTCAAGGTCTTTGTTTCAGAAGACGAGCACCTATTTCTCGAACTCCTTCCTAATGAGAGATCGAACCGCAGCTTTGGTAGTTCAATAATCAATTGGCCAAAACTATGCTCTTACCTCGCAAGAAATGCTGCCCACCCAGAAAAAAGCAACCTCTATGTGTGGCATTACTAACAGATCTCGCTATCTCTCTTATCAGATAAACGATCTCCTATACAAATATAATTCCTCTGCTATATGGTGGGCAGCACTGCTCGACAAAGCGATAAACTCAAACACCTGATCCAGTGAGTACAGTTCTACAGTATGTACAGTCAGACCTCACTATGCCGGACCTCAATATCCCAGATCCCTTGTGATCCTGCACGAAATCCTGTCAGATTTTAATTGCTGTCCCGGATTTCTCGGGAATACCGCCATAACTCGAAAAAATTGGCTAGATCAGAATTACTTGTATGGGAAACTTCTGATGTAGATCGATGCCATCCAACCAATCACTCAAGCGGCAGTCTCTGGACGGAGATAGCCAACTTTTCGAGTTTGGCGGTATTTGCTATCCCCTATAATGGAAATTGCCTGGTCCTTGGCATCCGGCGTAGCTAAGTGCGACTGGGTCCATTTGGCTGTCGGTGCTTACGCCCTTTTCCTTCTTTCGAGTCCGTTTGTACCGTCGGGATCACCCCATTTTGTGGTAGCAAGAATCCCGGACAGGGACGCAATAGTTACACAAGTGGGTTCAAAAGGTGCAGTGTGTCAACTTCAGACGAACCCCCATTGCACGGGAAGTAGAGAAAATTACACTCTTAAGCTAGGCACTAGTACCCTTGTGGTAGTAGATCACCCAATCTCAATAGATTGATTGGCTGCAAATTCCGAGGTTTACCCACCTACGCTCCGTAGCTTCTCGAGCCATAGGTTTGGGAATGGTCTGAGGGCGAGGTTGGTAGGTGTAGGCGGACTTAGTTGAATAGTTGGTACACGGCTATCAAGGTATGTCCCGTTCTCAACTGCGTCAGGCTTGGCTGTCACACTCGATCTTTCTGATTTGTCAAACATGATCATGAAATCTTAAGCTGTCAATGTTGACCCCCCTATAACAGGAGATTTAAGTTTGTATGAGAGATCTATTATTTGATAACAGAATATATGAGTTAAGCCGTACAGTCGTTTCTAGGTCAACGGCGAACCTGGCTCGATGACGAATGGCGACTTTTCGGGCTGATAATCAGTCAAGGCAAAGGGGTCGGCACACTTTTGTTGGCTTTTGTTGACTTCGATTGGCCCATTCGCCGTTCACCCAGAAACGACTATACCAAACTTAATTTCTTCTGCTTTTTTTTTTCTGATGGGCCAGCACTTCCGCGACAACTTAAAGGGGATAAGGGGCTATGTAGCTCTACTCCGGCTACAGATGTCCACCCGCCATACCTACCTACCAACCTGAGTTATAAATCCAATAACAGACCAGCAGTCCAACGAATTAAACAAAGTTCATCGTGGTCAATGCAGGTTCCAAGCCTAGTTGGATAGGCGGGCATGTGACTTACGTATTTTCTCCAAATACTCAAAGTTTTTAATGCAGTAGGCCTTTTATGCACCGAAGAGCAATTTCAGTTTGGTGCAAGAATACCCGGGCATGAAGAGGAAACTTTATTAATCCCCATTTTATCCGATATCATTGGTATGACAACATGTTATGCTAACTAAAGCCACCAGTCCAGTGTGCCCGAAGAAACAATAAAAACTCTCAATACCGACAAGGCGCAACTATCCCTCTCGAGCTTAAAAAAGGTTTCGAGCTTGGGACAACTTACTCAAACTCACCCGTACGTCACCTCCCATCTAACACCCCCCTCAACATTCTCTGCGCCGCGCCCCCTGCACCACGACCGCCCCATATACACATACGCATACCCTGTGAGAATCTAGGTGCTCCCAGCCCCAAAGCTCCTCCGCACTATAGAACTCGTAGTCGCCGTTGCTACGCAAATGTACATACCACTCGCCAAAACCGTACGTAATTTGATACCATGCGCGGAGGGTCCTGCTGGATATGAGGAGCTCGTACTCGACGATTGTTCGATTGGGAGATGGGGTGTTCGCGGTGGTTGGAGCTAGGAGAGGTGGGGACAAGCGTTAGTAGTGGTAATGCGGGGAGAAGGATTTGGGGGCGGGATAGGGGGGAAAACCTGTGGTCATTTGCATTTTGCTGATGTTAAGATGGCAAATATTCGAAGATTAGTTGATAGCAGAGCTGGGTAACTACAAGTGGGAAAGCGATACTCTTTATCAGTGCCTTATCTGGTTTGTACTCCGAGACTATCGGGCGCATAGGATGCCTATGTTTTGCGTTTTTGAGCTGATGAGCCAATTGCCTTGCTTGCTTACTTGGCCTGTGCACGGGTTAGTACTTGGGTGTGTGGGTAAGTGATGTGTTTTATCTTATCAGATTCCGATCTACCTTTTGCAACACCCCAGTACATACTGGCCTCTTTACTAACATTCGACACCATAGGGAATGTATTATCAATCAATTAATCAATGAACATTATGACGTTGTAAACCCTGTGCACACCACTCCAGTGTCATACCAGTTCAGCAGAGTACCTATAGTGTGAGAGGTCTTGGGGGGCGACCTTGTCATCCCTGTTCACACTAGTTCAGTATTGTAGCCCTTACAGCCATATAATCGAGTTAGAGGTGAGGCTCCTCAACGCTTGCTTCCGGTAGCCAACGAAGGAATTGACTGAAGTGGTGTGTACAGGGTTGACGGGGTCGCCCTCTACTCCCTCTTGCACCATATCTAATTGGCCTTCACACCCGTGGACTCGCATCGACGGTGAGTTTCTACAATGTTTGCACCCCGGAGCCAACGAAAGAATTCGCTGAAGTGGTGTGTACTTGTTTACCACGAAAAGAACCAGAAAATGCAGTTGCTCAAGGCAAGGATTATTTGTATAGAGTGGCAGTGATCTCTCATACAAACTATCCCTGTTTCCGTTACTTGCATTTTCTGGTTCTTTTCGTGGTAAACCAGTACCTCGCGTACAGGGTTGTTAAGGACTTTCACTACACAAGTACCCTTCTCGCTACTTGTAAACCCTGTTCACCCACCTCAGTATAGTAGTTGTAGCCATAGAGTCGAGTCAAGCGTAATGCTTCTCAGTGTTTGCTTTCCAAAGCCGGCGAAGGAGATGGTGGGCGGGAGGTTGGCAGGGATATTGGTGCGTTACACAGGGTTGTCACGGTCACTCTCTACCGCTATCGGGACATATCAGTACCACCAAGCGGCCCGTGCACACCAATTAAACCAGGCACACACCAGCAAGAGCCCAGCCGGCATCGGAGAATCCAACATATAACCCGAAGTTTGAAAGATGCGAAAGCAGAGAATGACGAAATTACAAACCAATGCTGGTGGGTCCAGATTGCGCGGGTGAGTGATATTTCATGAGTCGAAATCGTAAATTATATGCACCTTCAAACACTACGACTACCACCACCACAAAGGTCCTGGGGGTAAAAAAACCTTGTTTGCAGCTGCACGCACTCGGGTGGGCGGGTCGGCGCAGGGGTTTCATGGTGACCAATGATGGTTGGTGCAGCTTCTGAGGGCAAGTGATATGTGATGAGTTAAAATCATATCTTCCACCACCACCACGGTCTTGCCGGTGAAAAAAGCTTGTTTGCACCTGCACAGGTCCGTGCGCTTTGACGCTGGAGGCTCGGCAAGTTTTTCGAAGACTCTGAGCGCACACTGCACACGGCTTCATATGCGGGGTGCTTGTTTTTCGGTATGTGGACTGCATTAGATACTACAAAATCGGGGAAAGATTCGTACCGAGACAGTAGGGGTATTCCCTGGTCAAGCAGTGCTACCCACCCTATAACGCAGGAATGAGATTTGTATGGGAGATTTATTATTTGATAAAAGATATAACAGGATCTGTTAGTAAAGTCACGCATACAGTTTCCTCTTTTTTATGGGTGGGCAGAGTCTTTTGCCAGAGAAGGGATAGGGAAACCGGAGGCGGTCATTCAATAAACGTTTGCACATTCCGGGGTAGATAAGCACTTGGCGCATTGTCTGATGCGAAGGAGCGGTCCATTTTCCGTTTGTTTGCGCACCGGAATTGCAGACTACCGGATCGGACGCAGACAGCAGTAGCAGCCCTTTGCGCACCTTTACATATATGTGGGCTTCCAACGTCTCTAAGCTCTCCTCAACCCGCAGAGTCACCAGCACGCAGAATCCCCGGACCGCCGAAATGCCTAGAAAGGTTTCCCCTAGACTATTCTATCGTCCTAAAAACCCTTATCAAAACGTTGAAAGGTCGGTTAATTGAGACTTACAAGCTATCGGTGTCATTATGCTAACATCCGTTAGGCGTCCCGCGAACGACAATGCTGAGATCGTCGACAGGGGCCAGGATCAGCGTAACCACAATGAACGCTCCCAAGACGACGAGCTCAACGAACAAGCGGAGATCAATCTGAGCCCGGAGCGCATCGAGCGCATCGAGTGCATCCAAAACACCGACCTCGCCGAGCGCACTGTTATTGTCGAAATCGCACGCCGCGGTGCCAGTCCCGCAAATATCGCCGCAACGGAACCAACTCTGACGCAGGCTCAAGAGGGGACGGGGGGGCCGGATCGTGTCCAAGATCTTGACAGCGAAACTGATGCCAACACTTCCGGACGGAAAAGGAAAAGGAGAAGGAAATGGTCAAGGGAATCAAGACGGTTTCAAAAGGTGATAGATGGTTTGAATGAAAGAATAAGTTCTTTGGAAAAAAGCTATCGGGAATCGATGGGTAGCAAGTCTACAACTATTATTAATAGGAAATGTAGATACTACCAGTCGGCTATTGAGAGAGTCAAAAGGGAGCACTATATGGTGTAGCTAGTTTCGTTGGAGGATATTTGTTACCGCAATTGAATATTTGGGAACGATAATCATAAATGCTGTCTATCTGTCCATCTGATCCTATGTGCATACATGTTTCTTAGCGCGCGGCCAAACTCCCCGCCTACCCGCGCCTGACCGCCTACCTGCCCGCCTGCATACCGCCGCACCCCACTGACTGCCCGCTTGCCTGGGTGCCTGCCTGCTAATTTGACGTGTGTTTGGTGCAACGTCAGGCGTCAATCTGTTCGGTGCTGTTTCGGGGCATCGATTGCGCATAAATTTGCGCGTCGATTTGGTGCATTAATCTGACAACCCGGGCATCGATTTGGTGCAGTTGGGTTAACGGTTTGGTGCTGAATTACCTGACGATCTGGCGCCGACCTGGTATCGGTTCGTGTATCGATCTGAAACTGATCCGGTGCTGGTTAAGGAGTCGGTAGCGGTGTGAGTACAGGCGTCAAAATACAGAGATAGATAAATGCGTATCCAGGTGTCGCAGGCACGAGGTAGGTCTCGAGGAGGTGTCTAGAGCCAATGGGTGTTGTAGATTTTGTTGATCTATTACCCAATAGTCCCGTGGCTTTTCGTCGGTGACATCAGCGTCGACACTAAAACAGCGCCGTGATCAATGAAAATCAATTAAGTAAAGCACTACTCGATTAGCGATTTCTGCGCGACGGGTAGAAACAACCCCGCGCATTTTGTGTGAATTGTCCTGAAACTAGACGGAGAAATCAGCCATGCTAACTCATTCCTCATAACACTTGTCTCGTGCCCAGCCAAACACTCTTGGCGTCAAGGTTCACAAAACAGCGCTTGGCTCGGAGCAAATCAGACTCCACAAACCCGTCTTCTCGTGGTATGTAATTAGTAGCAGAGAAAGACTTGGTACCGGAATTCATGATGTGCCACACGGTTTGGGCTCAGGTTCAAAATACTTACGGTTTGTGGGTTAGGGTTGGGTACTTAAGCTATCAAGCTCAAGATTCCTCTAGAGCCATCCAAAACGGAGTTATGCGGGCTTAAAACTCCGTTCTGAGAAAATCTGTTGAATTTGGGGACCCATTTGCAGGCCAGGAAACAATGTTAACTCCCATGAAAACTGAGGCCTCCAATAAGCAACTTAGATATACTTTTTCGGTTAAAACTCTGTTTCGAAATCTTTCCATTTCCCACCAACGAACGGAGGGTTATTGAATCATTGTTTTCTACTAGCACAGCCCGTATTTGTCTAACAAAACTCAGTGCACTCTGCCATCTCCAGCAAAGTGAAGAAAATGGCCCAAAAAACAGAGAACCGTGTCTTCTTACTCCCTAACTCACTCAACACCGCTCTCCTCAACAAAAATCTCATAAACGCATTCTTTCCCCACTGGAACAAAACCTTCCCCTCAATATCATATCACCTTCCAGGATGTCACTACAATTACCTTTGATCAAATTAAAATCACCCTCAGGTCGACCTCCAAGTTCTCAGCATCAGGCTTTGACTCGATTTTATACCGCATCTGGAAAGGCATCCACAAAGCCAACTTACTCATTATAACCTCACTCTTCAACAGGCTCCTCATATACTGCTACCATCCACTTTTCCTCAAAAAATTCAAGGGGTATTATCCTTACAATACCAGGGAAAACGGACTACTCCCGGACTACTCCCGGACATGCCACGCGGCTTACAGAATTATCGTCCTTCTCCAAACATTTTCTGTAATAGGGGAAAAGATCATTACCCCCAGCCTTTCAACAAAAGTGACCAACAAATACCTCATTCACCTCCACTCATATGGATCACTCGCCAGCCTCCTCACTACCGATGCCATCACCAAGCGAATATATGAGATAAAAGCAATGCAACTAGCAAAACTCAAAGTCTCCACACTCTTCTTAAAAACAAAAGTGGGCTTCCACCATGTCCTCAAACAAAGTCTTGCCTCCCTCTTTGCCACTAAATCGGAACTACTATACTTAATTCACTAGACTTTTTCCTTCCTTTCTAATATGTTCATTATATCCTATTCAAAGGCTCACCAAAAATCGCCCCCACATTCAAGTAGGAGTACCACCACGTTCAAATAGGAGTACACCAATGTTCTCCCATTTCCACTCTCCTATTGTTCATTTACATCAATGTTTCTGCAAACATGACCCATCCCCCAGACTCACCTCCTTATACGTAGACTACTTTCCAATCACAGTTGGCTCCCTCTCATATCAATAGAATATCCCCAACCTACAACCCCACTACGCCAAACTAGTAAACCTAGGACTTCCAAAAAGCGGCACCTTCTCCATAGCCAAAATAGAGCTGATGCACTGTCACACATCCAGAAATGTATCTCCAATCTGCTCTTCCACAATTGTATTATTTGGCCAGGAGTTCCACGCTGTCTTTCAAGTCACACAGGTCGGATTCTGGCTCTCACAATCATTCAACCCCAACACCCACTTTCTCAGAATGATAGCATTAGTAAAATTAGCATTTGGACCCACCCAGCACTTCTACTCAGTACAGAATGGCTTCTACTATCAAAACAGCCAAAAGGCCACCATACTAGCCATCAGACACATGCTCACCTATGGCGCGAAAGTCCTCATCCTGACATCTGGCCTCAAACACATAACAACGCATCAGCAAAAAATGGGTTTCACCAGGACCAATTCGCGCGCCTAAATGTCCAAATTTGTCTTTCGCGCCCAAACCTCGTCTATTGCTCACAAGACCTCGTCCCACTGACACCAAAATATGACACATTGTCTTTTGGCGACTAGTAAGCATACAAAATGTGATACGTCATCTTTTAACGCATAGTGCGCATTTCAAGTATGAAAGCACACTTCTTAACACCCCACCGTCCTCCAAAACCCCACCCACCGCGGCGTATCTGCCTAAGTCCTGGCGCTCGTCCTGACCTCGCTAGCAAATGATGTCAGATTTGGCATCTCCAGGATCCCACCTGCTTACCTACCTGCCTGGCTGCCTACATGCTATCTTTCTGCCTATCTTCCTACCTCCCACCTGCATCGATGCCTACATCAGCAAGCTCGCCTATTACCCAGGGCGCAGCCCCTACGTCCTGGCGGGCATTCTGCGCCACGAGCGCCCAGCGCGTCCGGCACCGCCAGAGTACAACCTTCGCGCCAGGCTCCGCCGCAGGACCGTCCCACTCTCTGGGACCGCCAGGAGATATGGCTCACGTCTGGAGGGCACTCGCCAATGCTCTGGTCGCCTGGGCCGCCATGAGATTCCCTCCCCCTCCGGAGACGCTAGGATGGAGTGACTCCGCCCACAGCACCTAGGAACTTTTGCTTCTTTTGATTACGTCAGTAGTACACGCGAGCACTTCCCAATGCTCTCACAGTTTTCTTGAATGCTCTCACGGCACGACGAATGCTCTCACGGCACGGCGAATGCTCTCACGTCACCGCGAATGCTCTCACGGCACCGCGAATGCTCCCGCGAATGCTCCCGCGAACGCTCCCGCGAACGCTCCCGCGAGGGCTTCCGCGAGTGCTCCCAGAGCACTCACCAGTGCTCACAGAGCTGAGGCATTCGTCATACCCACTCAAGGTGAGGCAACCCTCACTTGGGCTCCTTTGGATTGATACACCGTCCTCAAAGGATAGGAAGGCCGCACCAGTCCCTCAAAAGATATCTAACGTGGGTATCCTCAACGCCGCTGTACGGTCAGTCGCGGGATACTGATACGAGCACTGTCCTGTATACTGGTGACGACTACCCAACCTTTGACGGACGTGTATGTTTCTGTCGATTCGTGAAAGGCATAATTAGCCTTGAGGTTGAGGCCATGGTACGGCTCGTCTGAAAAGCTCAATGTCCATGCATAAGCAGCAAACATGGACTGGCATTGACCTCCTGGAGCGAGCTTGCTGGATAGCCAGACTCAGATACTGAGCGGCCGAAACTTTACCTCCTTCTTCCAATCCGCATGCATAGCAGAACGACACGAATTTTGAATTAGAGAGTCCAATTGGGTCTAACGTTCCTAGAGCACTCAAGAATGCCCTCACGGCTTTACAAGTATTCAACTAAATTCATTCCACGTACGCAAGTCTATCCTAGTATTTACCAACCAATTACCAGTCTCCACCTCAAACAAATGGGCCATTCCCAATATACTCCGAATATTAACGACCCACATCCTCTTCCTCCTCCTCCTACAAACCTTCAGGAGCCCATGTGAGCTATCAGCGATACCACGATCCTTTGCCTCGAGTAGCTCCACTATACATAGTCTATGTGCTCGCCCCCCACTGTCCCGCAGCTTGAACAAAGCCTCGACACGTCCTGGTAAGCGTCCCCGAAACACTCCCCACTCCTCTGAGGACGCTACCGACACCCATACCCAATCCTTTCTTATTTTCCCTTTCCTAAAAGCCGCGTTTCCCGTACACCTGATATTGTGAACCTCGTACACCTCAGGTCTTTGGAAGATTGGTATCGGAACCTGCAAACATGTGAACATCTCCACCCGGCGCTCTAAAATGCTCTCAGAGCTTCCGGCAAAGCTTTGAGAGCATCCCGCATCCTCTGCATACTCCTTTATCAGGCGATATAACGTGGTATGGCTTATTTGCAGTCCATCCGCAATATTGAAAAGTCTTTCCGATTTCGTGGAGGGGTTGCAAAGACGCCTTAGAGGCAGTCGGCCTTCTACTATGGATCGTTCATTTGGTGTTTTTTTCCGGTCTTCGATTTTAAAAATCTCAAGTAACTCCTTCAGGTTATCTCGATGGCTCCAAAGGATGTCGTCAGTGCTCTCAGGACCTCCAACAATGTCTTTCAGATTCAGCATTCGAATCTCTAACGCCAACCGCCGCCCCCCATAGTCCAGTATCTGCGTTGCAGCATCGACCTTGTTGGATGCTCCGTATGCCTCTTTTATCTGACGTACATGGGCGAGTTCGCTGATGTCGGTGGAGTACTGGGGAATGCTCCCAAAGCGCTCGACATGTTCCCGATAGTGCGTTAA